GAATTCGAGTAAGCGAACGCAGTGAAATGCTTTTAAGAGAGCACAGACAGACTGCAAATGCACACCAGATAAGATCCCCAGAGCAACTGCTACAGCCGACCAGATCAACCGTGCCAACAGCTTTAAGAGAAGCTGGTGTAACCTGTCATAGACTTTGGTCAACCGCTTCAAGTGAGCCTACCAGAAGAGAAGAGTTGGGCAGTCGCCTCATCCAGGAGGCGTGTCAATGTTGAGGCCGTGAGGTTGGAAAACTGCAGCGAGCCGAGACCGCCGGAAGCGGCTGAGGCGACGGAGACCCGAGGTGACGAGGCGGGCGGCGACGGGTATGCAGAGGGGGCGAGAGACAACGAGACCGGCATCTGTACCGGCACCGACAATGGCACCGGCACCGACACCGACACCGGTCCTGACAGCAGCAGTGGCACCGGCTTGCGCCGCGCGGTCTCCGAGTGCCTCGCCTCTCCGGACGGATCCCTGCCCGGTCGCTGGGTGGACAGCAACTGGTCCGGACCCAGAGACGAGGTGGGATCACCGCTCTGCGCTGCACCAGAAAGCCTCCCCTGGGCGCGACTGAGAAAAGTTCGAGCCCCGAGGAATCGGCTGCTCGAACCTGCCGTTTTGTTGTAGGCAGCGGATGCTGAGAGGGAAGACACTGTCTCGTCGTCGTCGGACGTCGTGAGGGTCGTCGAAGAGGCGGATGGCCGTGAAGAAACCATCGTGACTGTGCGGTGGTGGAACTTTTGCGGCTGTTGCTGCTGCTCTGCTTGACAGAACGGCTTGAGTAGTTCTGGAGGACCAATATCGTCGAGGTTCCCATCGGCCGGGCAGATTGCGCCGGCCGACGCCAGCAAAGGAAGCCCACGGCCAGTCGAGCTGGTTGTCTGGTTGTTGGTGATGGAGCGTATGTGATGTCCGATCAGCCCGTAGCCCTGGTACAGCGGAAGGTCGGCAAACAGAGATCGGAACGGGGTCAAATGTACCTGCGGCTGGGACTGAACCTCCTGACCAGAAGATGGCACAAGCGCTTCAGTCCCACTCTTGTCATCAATCGAGGTGGAGGCGGAGGGGGAGGCATCGGCGGTTTTAGTGCTCGGATAATCTGTCTGCGAGGATCCGCCGCCACTAAAACGTCCCATGCCTTCGTCCACCTTCTCCAAGTTGGGCCAGCCAGAGTTTGGCTGCAAGAGACCTGCTGCTGCTGCTGCCGCGGCGGTGGCTGCGGCAGCAGCAGCCGATGAAGAGGACGATGAGGCTGTGCTGGAGCTTGTGTGTATCACAACGTGACTGCTGGTGGCACCAGAACCGAAACTCTTGAGTGCGTCCTCACCAGTGGTGGAGAAGGGGAAGAGGCGACTGGCGAAGCGACGCTCGCAGTCCTATTTCAATACAATCAAAAGGAGGAAAAAAACTGGCTTGTTACAAATGAGACGATAAAAAGGTGAGAGAAAGAGAGAAAGAGAGATAATTGGGAATAGACGATAATTTCGACATGCCATTAGCAAGTTCAAATAAAAGCTTATTTTATATCTTATTCTATTGTTTTAAATATGCTTAGCAAATATGTGGCCATGCTTATACATTATAAACTATATGACTGCAGTTACCGAATAAACATGAATAACTAATCTGGACGCGTTAGTGTGTGATGATAGTTCTTATGTTACTGCAAGTCTACAAACAGCAGATGCGTCAAAATGATGTCTTAAAATACAATATAATTTCATGTTAAAATTACGATCAAAAGTCTCTGCTGAATATGACATTTAATGTATTTTAAGTTACTTTTTCCTAGGGACTAGACTGTTTGTATAAGCGATATATTTAAATAAGCTCTTTTTAGGTTCGAGGATGTAACGTTTAACGGAAGGCAACAAAAGAATAAACAAATGTAGAGAAATGATTAGTCGAATGAAGTAATAAATAATGTACATCCTATTTCGTTTAAGGTGATGAAAGACTGGTTGTAGAATTTTCCCACATTTATATGAGTAGAGCTGACATTTCCATTGAATTTCACATAGACTTGCTTTCCCAAAAAGTTGTTCTCATCCCGGCTGGAGTGCATAGGTCTTATCAACACCCCTAGCGGTTGTCTAACTGTGACAGTGCAGAATGTAAGCTTGACATATTAGCCACTCGGCTACATTGACACGAGTGCCCTTGGGTCACTGGGACGATGTGAATTTCAAGGAAGGCCAGGCCTTTTCCCATAGTACATTCTTTGGTGGGATTGTCGATGAAGAAAACGTTTTTTAGCTATAACAATCTACTACATCGTCTATGTTTCGTATATAAGTAGAGTTTCGAGACATCTCATATAACTGATTTACTGGTAGTCTCGCAACTTTACTTATATACGAATAATAAATAGTAGGCAATAATAGTACAATCAAAAGAATTGTAAAGGCAGGATTGGATAAAGGAGTCTAAAAATGTGTAGATGATAATTTTGAATTAGGGAGAAGGGATTATGGATAAAACTAAAACATATTTAGACTTTAATAAATTGAAATTTAATTTCTACCGTATTAAAGGAATCATGAAGAGTTATTATCTACTGCGTCAACTACAAAGTAGTCAGAAGTGTCACAGTAAAGTTTTATATCAACCATAATTTCAATAAAGGCTGGCTTTCTTGACGAGGTGCAATCAAATTAGTTCCAGTTGCAGCCAGGCTCTTTCACAAAAATAAGGCCCACTTTTATCTTCCTTAATTGCATTACTTCAGATCTGATACTCGGGAAAAACATATTCTGGAATATATTAATGTCTCCAGAAGCACCATTTAAAAAAATCTTCAGCACTTAAATCAATTACTTAGTATGAAGAAAATATTTTAAGTAATTATTTTTCAAAGCTACTGAGTAAAATTGGAAATAACCTTTTGGGAAACCTGAATAATAGACAACTTGTACCAATCAGAGGTCTGTTGCATTCATAATTCTCTGTAAAACAGAAAACTCTATAGACATCAGAACATATTTTAAAACCCACTTTAGACATGGAACTCTACCTACATACATAAGCTAGTAAAGCTTATTAAGTGAGCCGAAATCCTTTTTTTCGATTTTTTGGATAATTCTCTATTATCCTTAAATATCAGCGAAAATACTTATACTGTAACCAAGTTAAGACGTAAAATAATCAGTCAGAATATAAGGGATTAAGCTATAGATAAAAGGTCATGCTACCTGGGAGCTGGCTTTACTCGGCCTGACTGCGAGACTTGGTGGTGAAAACTTGTTCTTTTCTTTGGCAAAGCTTGCCACATGACTGACGGAAACCCATCAAATATTCCTAGGATGTAAAGGTTGCTACGACGAACCAATTAAATTAGCTGACAAGCACTCTTTGCATTATAAGTGGACAAGCCTATAAATTTTCTTCTCTAATCCATTTGCCTATATCACAAAGTAAAATTGCGCATAGTTTCTGGTCGGATGCCATTAAAAAAAGATCATTAAAAGGGACCTTAGCCATAACTAGGTGCTCAAAATCTGAAGACAGGAGAATCGAAAATAAGTTTAGTCATTAAAAAAATTGCATAGCTTCGGGACTTAGTTAGCTCCGAGAGCCGCATTAAAAGCTGACTCTCAACATGAAAGAAAAACGATTATAGAAATTAGGATCTGCGGTCTCCTTTTAGGGAACAGTTTTTAAACGGAGTGAGTTATTTTTCGTTTTGTAAGTAGTCTTTCGAGACTACCAGTAGATCAGATATATGAGGTGGGTTCACCCTATTTCGTTTATGGTGATAAGAAGATTAATAGTTGACTTATGAAGAGAAAAATAAGTAATTTAGTCTATTGCTTTACCGACAATTTCACCACAGAATGTGATATGGAAAAATGCTTGGATTTACCTAAATTCATATCCGCCTTATATCCCAAGTGTATTGGTGGCAATGCGACTTAGCGGTTAACGTGTCGAGAATTATACTACAGTTCGATTCCCGCTAGAGGTGTTGATAAGACCTAAGCAAAGTCAAAATAGCAGTCCACTCCGGCCTGGGCTATAATACCTTTTGGGAAATCAATGTGAATTTCAATGGAAACA